ACTTGAAGAACAGGAGGAGAATGAGGTAATCAGTCCCTCAACCTTGAGTCGATGTAAACCATACCCCCGGCCGGGATTGAACCCGCGGTCATAGTTTCAAAACTCCAGACCGTCGCGTTAGCCACTAGACCAGCTAGCCACAATAAGATTCATCCAACTAGGTATATTTCTACACCATAGGAAAGTTAGCACAGGCACCTCTGTGACCACAAATGCAAGTTTTTACAGACGAATCTCCAGCTAGCGTGGCCGTGACGAACTCTAGCTCAAGTCCCTTCACTGCCGTCAACATGACTTAAGAAATCGTAATGACACGATTGCAAATAAACCAGTGAAGGGACTTGAGCTAGAGTTCGTCACGGCCACGCTAGCTGGAGATTCGTCTGTAAAAACTTGCATTTGTGGTCACAGAGGTGCCTGTGCTAACTTTCCTATGGTGTAGAAATATACCTAGTTGGATGAATCTTATTGTGGCTAGCTGGTCTAGTGGCTAACGCGACGGGCTGGAGTTTTGAGACTCTATGACCGCGGGTTCAATCCCGGCCGGGGGTATGGTTTATTTGCAATCGTGTCATTACGATTTCTTAAGTCATGTTGAGTCGATGTGTTCAGTCCATCAATCTTGAGTAGAATACGGCAGATGAGCGGAGAAGCAGCTTATAAACCGTATGGCAGGAGAGGTGTAGCAGAGGTGTAACCATTCATCTACAAACCTCCTCCATCACTTGGAATGATTGTACACTCAGATTCCTACTGCTACTGTTAATACTACTACTACTACTGCTACTATTACTATTACTACTACCATTACATGTGGGCTGTTTCGCCAGTAGATACCCAACTGTCTTAGTTTTCAACTTGTCAGTATTGCATACCATTAATGTGGTGCTGGTGGGGCAGCTGGCGCTGATGCTGCTATTCTGATGCTGGTGCTGCATGTACTACTGTTGCCGGTGATGGTGGTGGTGCTGGCGCTGGTGGTACTGCTGGTGGTGCTGACACTGGTGCTACTGCTTCTTCTGCTGCTGCTGTTGCTGGTGATGCTGGCGCTGGTGCTACTGCTGGTGGTGCTGGCGCTGGTGCTACTGCTGGTGGTGCTGGCGCTGGTGCTACTGCTGGTGGTGCTGGCGCTGGTGCTACTGCTGGTGGTGCTGGCACTGGTGCTACTGCTTCTGCTGTTGCTGCTGCTGCTGTTGCTGGTGGTGCTGGCGCTGGTGCTACTGCTGGTGGTGCTGGCGCTGGTGCTACTGCTGGTGGTGCTGGCGCTGGTGCTACTGCTGGTGGTGCTGGAGCTGGTGCTACTGCTGGTGGTGCTGGCACTGGTGCTACTGCTTCTGCTGTTGCTGCTGCTGCTGTTGCTGGTGGTGCTGGCGCTGGTGCTACTGCTGGTGGTGCTGGCGCTGGTGCTACTGCTGGTGGTGCTGGCGCTGGTGCTACTGCTGGTGGTGCTGGCGCTGGTGCTACTGCTGGTGGTGCTGGCGCTGGTGCTACTGCTGGTGGTGCTGGCGCTGGTGCTACTGCTGGTGGTGCTGGCGCTGGTGCTACTGCTTCTGCTGTTGCTGCTGTTGCTGGTGGTGCTGGCGCTGGTGCTACTGCTCCTGCTGTTGCTGCTGCACTCCTCGAGGGAGGTTCCGTGATGCTGGTGAGGGGCTCTTGATTTAGGGAATTGGATCTGTGCTCCAGTTCCCCGAATTAAGCCTGAATACCTTCCACATCCCCCCCCATAGGCGCTGTATAATCCTACGGGTTTAGCGCTTCCCCTTGATTGTAATAATAATATTGTGATAAAGTTGGTAGAATTACCGACAATATGTAAAGTAAAAGGACACAAGTGCAACTAATGTGACATTTATTGTGGCAACGTTTCGCTCTCCAGGAGCTTTGTCAAGCCATTACAAACAATACATGGACACAGACGGTATATAAAGGCTCTAGAGTGTAGGTGGATAGTATAGTAGTAGGATAGTAGTAGTAGTAGGTGTAGTAGTAGGAATAGTAGTAGTAGTAGGAATAGTTAGTAGTAGTAGGAATGATAGTAGTATGTATAGGATAGGATAGTAGTAGTGATAGTAGTATGGAATAGTAGTAGTAGTAGGAATAGTAGTAGTAGTAGGAATAGTAGTAGTAGTAGGAATAGTAGTAGTAGTAGGAATAGTAGTAGTAGTAGGTAGTAGTAGTAGTAGTAGGAATAGTAGTAGTAATTGTAGGAATAGTAGTAGTAGTAGGAATAGTAGTAGTAGTAGTAGTAGGAATAGTAGTAGTAGTAGGAATAGTAGTAGTAGTAGTAGTAGTAGTAGTAGTAGTAGATAGAGTAGTAGTAGTAGTAGAGATAGTAGATAGTAGTAGTAGGAATATGTAGTTAGTATAGAGAATAGTTAGTAGTAGTAGTAGTAGGAATAGTAGTAGTAGTAGTAGTAGTAGTAGTAGTAGGAATAGTAGTAGTAGTAGTAGTAGGAATAGTAGTGTAGTAGTAGTAGGAATAGTAGTATAGTAGTAGTAGTAGGAATAGTAGTAGTAGTAGTAGATAGTAGGAATAGTAGTAGTAGTAGTAGTAGTAGGATAGTAGTAGTAGTAGTAGGAATAGTAGATAGTAGTAGAATAGTAGTAGTAGTGGTATAGTAGTAGTATAGTAGGAATAGTAGTAGTAGTAGTAGTAGGAAGTATAGTAGTAGTAGTAGTAGTAGTAGAATTATAGTAGTAGTAAGTAGTAGGATAGTATAGTAGTAAGTAGTTTGTAGAATAGTAGTAGTAATAGTAGTAGATAGTTAGAGTAGTAGTAAGAATAGTAGTAGTAGTAGTAGTAGAATATGTAGTTGTATAGTAAGTAGATAGTTGAATAGTAGAGTATGTAGTAGTAGGAAAAGTATGTAGTGAGTAGTATACACTATGGTAGTAGTAGAGTATGTAGAATATGTATTAGTTATAATATTGTATCCACTAGCTAGAATAGCTGTAGTGTAGCGATATGTATCGCCTATAGAGATGACTATAATCTCGTAGCTGGTACTGCTGTAATTACACATTAGGTAGGTAATGCACGACTAGAAATTTTAGCTCTAGAGTACTACTCTGAGATAGTCTAAGCAATGAGACCTAAATACTGCTA